AAAAAAAATCTTTACTGTAACTTGATTGTAAGTGTTTGAAAATAACATCTTAGGGTCTTGGCTTAAAGCAGGGTTTTGGGGTCAACTTCTTACCAAGTTTCTCTTCTGCTTCCTCCTCCTCATCTCCCTTGTCCTTTTCCTCCTCCTTCTCTTCTTCCTCTTCCTTCACATCTGGTTGTGGAGCATCAGTCTTCTTGTACTCCACAGCACTGGGCTGTCTCTGAAATATTCCCCGAAGTGCAACAATTTTGTTTACATTGTCATATATTATGTTATCGCATAATTACCAAATGCCTACAGGCACTGGCAAAGTTCTGTTTTAGGCTGTATACAGGGGTAGATATATAGAAATGAGTAAGATATCAATTCCTACCCCGAATAGCTTTCTCTTCATTGAATGTGTGTGTGGTTCAAGGTAGAAAGAACAGTATGAACAAAAGGGTCAGGCAGGAAAGTACAGGTCTAAACAGTCAAGTTGACTGAGACACAGAGAGAACAGTGGTAGAGAGTAAGGCTGGAAAAAGAACTTTGGATCCAGTTACACAGTGTTTTGAATGCAAGGTGAAGCATAATCCTCACTCAGAAGTAGAGAGCCTAAACAAGATATTCTTTTTTTATGATTGCATGTAACAAGGGCTAAACAAGAAAAACTAACAATAAGGCTGTAGTACTTCCACATGTATTGTTTTGGGAGGGGGGGTTGGTGAGGGAGGAATGGATAATGAGAAATCAAAGATCTAATTATCAAGTATAATAACAGAAATACCTATGGAAGGAGAAAAAGCTGGTTTGTTCCCAGATAGCTGGTTTTATATCTAAGTTTATTTTTTTTAAGAAAGTTGCTGCCAAATATTACAGAGAGAAATACAGCAGGATAAATAATACTAGCAACCGAGGGGCTATAAATTCTATTCCCATCTGGGCACAATAAATGGCCATTGAGGAGTAGTGAATATAAAATTTCAGAAGTCAACACCAAATGTGGCCCCATCATTACTGAGCTGCTACAAAGAAAACTTCAGGCAACATATCTTCGTTATTTTTAACATCATTAAGAGTTCTTTCTAAAAGTGATGCCAAAAAATAACAACAATAATGATAATTCATACCTTTCCAGAACAGCAGAAGAGGATAACGAGGAACACAGGCAGAGCCACAGTCAAAATGTAGACTACCCAGAGCCACGGGCGCTCTTCAGCGGCCTCAATCATCTGCCCCACTACACCCGGCTGAAAAACAAGGCAGGATTGAAGGTTCTTGCTTTTGAAACCAAATATGGGCTGCACTGTTTGTTCTACGTTCAATTATGGCACAGCACTGCTCAGGCTCCTCCTTTTTCAAAGAGTCCAAGCCAAGATGTCCATACAACGTAAAAATAAAATTAGAGAAATGCTTCCATCTTCCTGCTCTCCTTATCAAGGTGATTTCACTTTCATAGGTACCAAAGCTGGCATTGTATTCACCTGCAAAAAGCTCCCTTAACCTCAAAAACCAATGAATCAAGAATTTCCTGATCTCAGTTATCCCTGGCTCTCCAATTCGCACCTTGGACATATTACCAGTTCTCTGAAAATTATGCATGTTGGATAAATCAAGATTCAAGTTTGCATTACAATATACCCTAAATGGCAGATTTTAAGATACATATACACACAGACACACAAATAATTTAAAAAAAAAAAAAGTTGCACATAACAAATAGAGAATCTAAAGCCAACATACCAGACTAATGAAATTATGGCCAAAAACCCAACATTTTGTCTTTAGCAGGCATATGGTTACACTTGTTATGCCAAGACTCCCAAATAAGGGAAAAGATAAACCCTCAAACAGACCTTTTCACAAAAGTTACCCACAGTAACACATATAAATGCACAAGAAACGAGCAAACACAAACCTCAGCAGCCCCATCAGCAGCTTTCTTCAGGCCCCATCCATCACTGGCCCAATCATCAACTACTCTTCGATCAGCACAGATGATAAAGTTGTCAAAAAAAATGTCAGAGGTCATGGACCACAGCTCCAAACCAATAGCACTAAAAGGAGTCATTTTGAAAGGTTCAAGATCTTCAAAGAAATCTGGATTTGGTATTTTCCTGGGTTTCCAGATTCCCTAGAAAACAATGTTTTAAAAAATTATTTCAGATAATAATCAACAAAAACCTATGGGGAACCTCCTATAAGATGAATTCTCCATAATCAATGGAGATAAATGCTCACTTTGTGAAACTTAAATGAGCAACAGGAAGAAGACAATAAATGCTACTGATGTTTTACACACTCTGCCTCTAAGATTTCTAAACTCTAACTGCTTTTTCAGTGGTGATTTAAAATAA